CTTGCTTAAACTTACCATAAAAGGAAAATTTCTAACAAAACGGACGTGATCAGGAGATAGTTTTTTTTTTTTTTTAATTTACTAATTATAGTTATAGACTTATATATCTAAAGTGGATATAATTTTTTTAAATATATTACTTTATTAATATTTAACTATTTTAATTTTCTTTTATTCAATGTTAAATAATAATTATAATTACTTGGAGCCACTTGACAAATTATATTGGTTTAAAAATATTTTTTTGATATTAATTAAATGATTACTATAGGCAAGTTAACATTTAACTTGTTATATTATTATATATAAGAAATATTGTTTTTTTTACAATATATACTTAATTCTATATAAATTAAATAAAGAAATGATATTTATTTATTAAAAAAATTTAAATCAAAATGAAAGTATAATTAAAATATTTTTTGTTATTAAAAAAATTATTTGTAATTTTTTTTTGAAATTTAAATTACTTAATAAAAATTTTTTTATTAAAAAATAGAATTAATTTATAAAATTTTATGTATTATATGATATTCAAATTAAAAATTAGTAAATATTTTTAAATTATAATTTAATTAAGAATAAAAATTAAAAAAAATATTTAACTTGACATTGATTTAATCAATAAATATTAATTTTTAAAATTTTATTATAAATTAAAAAATTTATTTTATTTTTTTTTTAAAAAAATAAATCAAGTTATAACTATTGATTTTTTAATAAAAAAAATATTTACAAATTAAAATATTGATAAAGATATTTAACAAAATATATTTAATTTTTCGAATGATTTTTTTAAATAAAAAATTTTATAAAGTTTTTATATTATATTATATTGTATTTATTTAAAAGACAAATTATTTATTTATTTATATTAATATTTTTTTAATAATATGATTATATATAAGTTTTTTGAAAAGAATTAATAAAGTTCATCTATTTTTATTATATATTATTATATATTATTACTTTATTAATTTATATGATAAGATTATTTATTTAAAAAAATTTTTTTTCTTTTGTAAAAAGTCAAATTTATATTTAATTTTTTAAGTTTAATAAATAGTTGTTCTTTATTAACATTTGATTTTTTTTGAATTTATATAAACTTATTGTTTAAATTATAATTCTACATTTAAATACTTATAATATTATAATTATTAAACAGCATGAAGTAATAGGATGTAACTAAAATTTGTCTTATAAAAAAATCGATGGTTTTTTTATAAAAGTAAAATTAAAAAAGATTTATTTTATATCCTGTATCTGTTTTATATTTTGTATATTTAAAACTTATACTATGACAAGTAAAATATTTTTAAATTGTCATTAATCATTGCTTTAATCTTAATAAAAAAAATTGTTATAATATTAGAATTCCAATTGCTTTTGACCAATCAATCAACCTATCGCATCAGTTCAAAATGGATGGGGTTTTTTTTTCACAGAACAAAAATGTTGTCCATCTTACGGTGCCTTCGATCTTTTGAAAATTTAGCACAATGTATACACGTTTCACCAAAAACACAGAAATTAACACCTCACCTCTATAATTACTTTAAGCCTCAAAACCGATTTATTCCGACTCGTTTTTATTCGAATCAGAATCAGAAGATTACTAAAAATGCACCCGAATCCCTCAAATATTTTGATTATTCCCATATAAGTCTTCCTGGTTCTCCCATCGATTTCTCGTTAGACGATTTTATTATTCTTCCAAAACATTTCACACACTCGGAGCAAGAATTCCTCTTGAATCAATCATCGAAAAAACTGAAAAGAGAATTTGGTAAACAGGTGGTTTATCAGGAGGATCATTTTGATGGCGTTATATTTGGCTATCGAGAATGTCACGCTTCACATTGGGGTGAAGATGAAGATAAAGTGATGGAAATTTTCCATAAAAAAGTATACAACCTTTTTCCCGAAATCACCAATTGGTTACCCGCACATATTTTGGATTTATCAGAATCTGGTGGGATTCAAGCCCATATTGATCATGTTGAGGTTTATATAGAGGCTTTTTATTAATTTCACGTGCTTGAGTTTTCTATTTACTTGATTAAAAAAATCAAATAAAAAACCGGTAGTATTCTGGAAACATTGTGGCGGGAGTATGTCTTTCATCATCAGCCGTAATGTTTCTCCGCCATCAAGATAATTCTCAATTTTATTTTAGCGTTTTATTGGAACCGGGATGTCTTTATATTCAACGGTATCAATGAGTGACAAAAAATCCGTGAAGTCTTAATCATCTTGGCAATATTTTATTTATAGCTATTAACTTTACATTTTTAGTGATACTATTCGATATAAATTTACCCATGAAATTCCTGTGGATCAAGCAGAACATATGTTCAAAGGTGAACTCATTCCAAAGGCGCGTAGAATTTCTTTATTGTTTAGGTAAGAGTTCTTGTCATTCATTCAAAATATTTGTTAATATTTTAAATTCTGAATTAATGGGTTTGTTAATACTGTAATACGAAGAAATGAATATGAGGATGTGCACGATGAATGGGTTCTAGGAAAAATTTAATCGCATCAGAGATCTTTTCATAAAAATTTGGTAAATTGGCAGAGAGAGCTTGAATTTAATAATCTATCTATGAAGAATTTTGATTTAACCGCAAGAACCTCTCTGGAGGCAATCTGGTTTCGTTCCTTGGGTTTTTACGTATAACCATCATTTTAAATTCAAAATGTGTTCTATTGTTTTTAATCTGCTAAATTTGTGAAAAAAGAAATAATTAAGAACTCAAATTAAAAGATAAAAAATAACAGACATTTGTAATTGATACGTATAGTAAACGCCGTTTACTATATACCCGCCGCCATATTTTTGTTGAAATCAGGCGAATCGAGTGCAATATTTGATCAATTATGCGAGCCCATGTCATTTAAAAATTGTGACTTTCAAGATCATATAATGTACAAGACCCACAAACATTCTATAGTAGGCATTACAGTATACGAAAGACCAAAGAAAACATTTTCTAACCTGTTAGTTTCATAAACAGTAAAGTTACCGGCCTAAAGGAACGGGACATTAGATGAAATGAAGATAACCACTAAACTTCTGAGACGTAAGCGGAAGGTCACTTAATAAAAAACGGATGTCTACACGACCATCTTTCATATTTCTCTGAAATGAAAACGCCACAGCGGAGTGAATTAAGACTCCATAATCATCATGTCTAGTAATGACAATATAAAACAAAAAAAGGACAACAAACGCAATCCGAAAATAAGGTTGTGCTGTATCAGCATCGTTACTTTTGATTAATAAAAGTCACCATTACCAATAAGGAAAGGCAGTAAGAATCTGGAGAAGAGACTACTTGGTAAACATTGCCGAAGATTGCGGATTGTAGTATACCCGTCTTCCATCGATAATGTAACAGAGTAAACAGCGAGTCAGTTGCTAACTGTACGCATATTCTCTAGCCTCACCCGCTAACCAGAGTTTACAAAATGAGAAAGTTACGTTACGCTGCAGTTTTATCCATGATAATATATAAGGAATATTAGTAACAAGACCGAGGCTATCATTAAGAATACAATATTGTAAAAAAGGACATACTCTTTCCCGGAATATGAAATTATAAAATAACAAAATTAAATAAAATTTTTTTCATTTAGTTTATTAATCGAATAATTACTACTTTATTTGAAATCACACCCTTCAAAGAATATAAAAACCACATCCGTTAATGATTCGGAGGCCGCCTTCACACGATTGAATTTGAATTCCTGACTCCGTCGATAATCTGATGCTTCAATGCCATTTTGCCAATATGTATCACGTACGATAATAGATAAGACAGTCGAAGAGGAAAATTCCAAAATAAGATATTTAAAAGATATCCCCCCCAAAATCGGGTTTCACGCCTTATAACAAATTTCAACCATACATCTGATGAGGTAACTAACGATGAATAATAATATATCAGCTTTCAGTGATAACATTAGCTATTCATCGGAACAAGTTCGAACAACTAATGTGGTCCGAGAATGCAAATTTATCATTTGGACACAACACTTTGAAGGTGAATAAGATTTAAAAAATTGGTTTCTTCTGTCAGAGCTCGTGATAATGGAAAAGGTATACCTTTTAATGAATGCATAAAGGAGAATAAGATATATAAGAAATAATTAGTCATCCTACAGATCAAATTAGGGGTTATGAAAATGTTTACATTTGACATCGCGTACGCACTACTGTATCTAGAAAGAATGATTAACAATATCGAATGAAGTGCTTGATCTTTCTTTGACACTCTACTGTTAAAGCAAGAAAATCATGAGTTTAATGGGAGTCCTAACTTTTTTCAGGCTTCCGTGTGAATTTTTTCTTAAACCTCGGGATTTAATTTATCAAACCAAATGCTCTTATTACTTGATTCATATACTGTATGTATAGTGTCCCAGCATCATTAATAAATAAAGTTCGAAAATTTTTTTGCAATTTCATTGACTGAAATTACATAAAATTATTTAAAACATGAATTCTAATTCGCTGAACTAAAATTACCCTATTTCAATAATAATTAGTTCTGTATCATCAATTATTGCATTGCCTTTTGTATTTGAGCATGACAAATACATTAAGATGATTTTTTAGTTGTTGGAGTTCAAGTAACTTGTTGTTATCTTTTTTATTTGACTTGCCATGAACTTTCAATAGTAAATATGTTTTGAAAAATACTTGAAAATGTTGAAATTTTAACATCACATCACAAGTGATTTATTAATTTTATCATAGTGAAGTATACATACATTTCAATTTTCTTTAAGTTTAATAGATATAAATTTTAAATGAAATAAAGAGATTTATAATAAATATTTATTGTTACAACATTAAAAATCATATCAACTTATATTATAATCTTACTTTTACAGTTATACACACATGTTATTTATAATTAGAGCCTTTATAATCTTTTTTCTATATTTCTTTTGATTGATAATATATATAAATAAATTTATTAATGCATTGTTAAATTTTTTAATATATTTATCTTGTAAAAATAAAATAATTCCTATTGATTAAAAAACAATCAAATATGTATTAAAATATATCTTATAAGATAGAACATATTTTTATACTGTAAATAATCATCTCTGTTCTTAATTTTAATTATAACAAAATTAATAATATTCTTTGCTATTATATTTTAAATATTTAAATATATATATATCAATAGTTTTATTTAATAAATTATATATATATTATTAATTAATTTTTGAATCATATATTTTACAAAATCTTTTACTTAAAAATAATTAAATTTAATAAATTTAATTATATCTTTATATTTAATTAATTTAATATTATATAATAAATTTAAAATTCTGATTTATAAATTTTATTTATTTTTTTAAATATAATTTTTTTAATACTTTTACATGTCTTATAATTTTTTTTATATTAAATTAATTGGTTATCAAAGTAATTGATTTTATATTTATTATTGAATAATATTATTTTATAATATATAAATAAAAATCTTAATATAATATTTAAATCTATCTCAAATTTTTGAATAAATATTTTTTATTATTTAAATTATAATTAATATTTATTAATATTTGTATTAATAATATTTTTAATACTAAAGCTAATAATATGATATTATATAGCATATGATTAAAAAATATAATTTTATTCAAAAAAATGTATTGTTTTTAAAAATAATATTACAAATAATAAAATTAAATCAAGTATATTTTTGTTATTTTTTTAAATTATATAAAAAATGATTTAAATAATTTTTTTTTTATTGTTCTCTTTTTTAAAAAAACAATCAAAAAATATTAATTATAAAAAAATATCAATTTATCATTTTTTCATACAATAAAATTAATATAATAATAAAAGATATTAGTAATTCAATATAATTAAATAATAATAATTTGAAAAGAATCAATAATATAACATGAAATTATTTATTATTAATTTCTATAAATATATTAAGTAAACAAAAATTTATATTAAGAATAATCAATAATAATATTTTTAAATTTTTTGGTTTACTTTATATTACAATTGTATAATAAATACAATAGTAAATACAAAAATAATTTATTTTATTAAAAAGTTAAAAATTATAACTTTTATTTATATTAATAAATTTTTAATTAATAAATTTTAAATGTAATAATTGATTTTTTTTAAATAATTTTTTTAATAAAAACATTGCAAAAATTTTAAATCACCTAAGAACAATTATTATTTTTTTTTTTTGATAAATATCAGTTCTTTATTATACATATATACTAAGATATAACTTTGAAAAAGAATCTACATCTCTTATAGTACATGAGTTAAATGCTAGTTTACCAAAATATCTATTGTTACACTTGATCTTCGCCCAAGATCATCACTACCCCTTGCCTAATTTTTATTTGCATTTACCCTTGAAATTTTATCTCTTCTAGAATAATTCTTATATTACTATCCTTGTTATTGTTTAGCACTGTACTTTTCGTGCTATTGTTGCTTTAGAATATTTCCTATTTTATTTATTTC